GCTGCATTCCCAGAACAGTGCCGGGTATCCTGTGCCCCTTCCCGACCCCCATCCCGTGTGTTACCGGATTGGAACCTCCAGACACCGAATCCAATGAGGACAAGGAAGAGGACGGCAGCGATGAAGGACACAGCGATCACCACAAGATTCCCACCAGATGTCGGCTCTGGGAAACGCGGGATAGTGAGGAGGGGAAGCGGAATCCCCATTCCAGAATTCCAAAATCCCCAATTCCCAAATTCCCAGCCTCACCCCAAGCGAAGATCCCAGGCTCCAGCATTCCGGGATGCTCCACCCGGCACCGGTACTGCTCCCACTCCTCCGGCAGCGCCTCGATCCTGGCCCAGGTGTGGAAGGTGCCATCGCTGTTGGGAACGATCCCGCCCCACTCCGTCTCCTGATCCCGGATTTCACCCCCCTTCATCCAGTTGACTGTGATGGTGTTGGGATAGAATCCATACGCGTGGCAGGATAGGATCAGTGCCCCATGTTCCTCTTTTCCAGACACGTGGACGTCAGGGACCACTGGAATGGGATAATTGTCGTTCCGATTGGGAATGGCTTTAGAGAACGACAATGGACTCTCAAGGGAGTCACGACAGGAGAATTCTTAGTTTATTGCTTCAGCTTGTCTTATAGACAGATACGTGGAAAGTACAGAAAGGAAACTCTTATTGGTTAACAAAGTACTACACCACCATCATTGGTCAGGGGCACTTTGCCCCCCCTGACTCTCTCCTGCAAGGAGAAACAACAGGCTGCAAAACAACACCTGCAAGGCTGTTTAGTATCTCTGAGAATTGTTTTAATTCCTTCTCATGAATTTCTCAGGCTAGCCTTCAGTCAGGCCTGAGAGCTATGTGGCCTGTAATAACTACAGGCACTCTGGTTCAGATTTAGCATCCATAGATAATGGTGGAACTCATGCATGGAATTCCATGGAAATGGGATGGGGGCGAGATCTGACCATGGAATTCCATGGGAATGGGATGCTGGAGACATCTGCCCATGGAATTCCCACTG